ATCAGGGGTCGCCACAGCGGAATGAACCGCCAACTATTCCAGCATATGTTTTATGCAGCGAATGCCCTTCTAGCTGCAACCCTGAACTGGGAAACACCCATACACTCTCATTCACACACACACTCTCATACATTCATTCTTTTTCCTTCCGCTTAGTTCCTTATTTATCAGGGGTCGCCACAGCGGAATGAACCGCCAACTATTCCAGCATGTTTTACGCAGTGAATGCCGTTTTAGCTGCAACCCAGTACTGGAAAACACCCATACACACTCACATTCACACACTCACTCATACATAAATTCATTTATTTTCCTTCGACTTAGTTCCTTATTATCAGGGTATCCACAGCGGAATGAACTGCCAACTATTCCAGCATGTGTTTTACACAGTGAATGCCCTTCCAGATGCAACCCAGTACTGGTAAACACCCTTACACTCTCATTTACACACACGCTTATAGATTAATTTATTTTCCTTCGGCTTAGCCCCTAACTATCATAGGTCGCCACAGCGGAATGAACCACCAACTATTCCAGCATATGTTTTATGCAGCAAATGCCCTTTCAGCTGCAACCCTGAACTGGGAAACACTCTTACACTGTCATATACACACACACTCATACATTCATTCATTTTCCTTTGGCTTAGTCCCTTATTTATCAGAGGTTGCCACAGCGGAATGAACCACCAACTATTCCAGCATATGTTTTATGCAGCAAATGCCCTTCCAGCTGCAACCCTGAACTGGAAAACACTCTCATATATACACACTCATACTTTCATTAATTTTCCTTTGGCTTAGTCCCTTATTTATCAGAGGTTGCCACAGCGGAATGAACCACCAACAATTCCAGCATATGTTTTATGCAGTGGATGCCCTTCCAGATGCAACCCAGTACTGGAAAACACCCATAACTCTCATTCACACACACACACACACACACACACACACACACACACACACACAGTCATTCAATGGGGCCAATTTTAGTTGATCTAATTCACCTTTAGCACATGTGTTTGGACTGTGGGGCAAACTGGAGCGTATAGAAACGCCTCTTGGTCCAGCCGGGACTCGAACCAGCAACCCCAGGTGACAGTGCTAACCATTGAGCCACCGTGCTGCCTCAATATAGTCCTCTTTGAAGACAAAAACACATAAGAAATTGATTACAGGACTGAGAAACAAACCACAAAGTGGGCCGCGCTAGTTTTTGAAGTTCCACTTTGTTGTTTTCCCCCTAAATACAACACCTCAGAGTTCCCCTCTGCTGGAAACGGGGTCTGGAGGCTCCAAGGAAGGTTTATCTTAAAAGAGCAGAATAAATCGATAGAATTGTGGAAGTGGCGTGGTTACATTTAAATTCACAGATTTTGATGGTGATGCATTCGGTCGGGCGGCGAGCGGCGAGCCTATTCATCACACATAGAGAGCGGCGTTGGGGGGGGACCGCCTGTCTCAACGCTTGATTAATGTGATTTGATCTTGACAGTGGACCCCTAATTCATCAAGACCTTGATCTGGCTGTCTTTTCCTCTGCCTGAGCCAAATTCATCTAATTACAGGGACATTGTGCAGCAAATTAAGCGCGGTGTCGCCCGTGGCAAGCCCAGACACTTTGTTACAGTCGCCGGGCGGCATGTCAGGGGTCTCGGAGCTGATTGTCTAACATGACATCTCCATACAGTTCGTTTTATCATTGTTTGCATATAAAATAATGAGGGCGCTGGTTATTTTGTCAGAGCTGTCAGCGGAGCCGGCCGGAGGAAGCTTCCCCTACGGATATCTTGCTTTTACGTCTTCGTTTTTTTCTTTCTCTGTTTGATAAAGCGAGCGCAGGAACGCTAGTGTATGTGTGTGTGTGTGTGTTTCTGGAGCTGAAATGACAGTGGACGGTGCGATTCATCTGCGCTGCGGACAGGAGCGCTCGGGGAATACTGCAGGCGGAGAAACACACACTAGTGAACACTCAGAGTCCACTGTCAGAAAACAGAACGACACTTGAAGAGAGAGACTGTGTGTGTGTGTGTGTGTGTGTGTTTGTGTGTGTGTTTGTGTGTGTGTGTGTGTGTGTGTGTGTGTGTGTGTGTGTGTATGTTTGTGTGTTTGTGTGTGTGTGTGTGTGTGTGTGTGTGTGCGTGTGTGTGTTAGAGCTGCACTATATATAGTTTCTGCATCGATATTGCAAACTTAGTGTGTGTGTGTGTGTGTGTGTGTGTGTGTGTGTGTGTGTGTGTGTGTGTGTGTGTGTGTGTGTGTTAGGGCTCCGTAATATATAGTTTCTGCATCAATATGGCAAAATGGTTTATTGCACTTACACTGTGGTGTGTGTGTGTGTGTGTGTGTGTGTGTGTGTGTGTGTGTGTTAGGGCTGCACAATATATCGTTTTTTTATCGATATCACAATATGCTTGTCGATTAGCACTTATCGCTTGTCGAATGTCGATTATCACTCGTTGCTTGTCGCTTTGTGGCTGTGAGTCACTCGTAGTGTGAACTCAATTTTTTTGATTTTGTTTTATTTATCGTTTCTGTATCAATATCACAATATGCTTGTCGCTTGACACTTGTCAATTGTCGCCTAACGCTATACTATTGTCACTTGACGCTTGTCGATTGTTGCTTGTCAATTGTTGATTGTCTCTTGACGTTATATGATTGTTGCTTGACGTTATATGATTGTCGCTTGACGCTATATGATTGTCGCTTGTCAGTTGTCGATTGTCAGTTTACGATTGTCAATTTTTGCTTGACGCTATACGGTTGTCACTTATCGATTGTCGCTTGTTGCTTGTCGCTTAAAGCTTTACGATTGTTGTTTGACCCTTGTCGATTATCGCTTGTCGACTGTCACTCGTCGCTTGTCAATTGTCGCTTGTCAATTGTTGCTTGTGGCTTTGTGGCTGTGAGTCACTCATAGTTTGAACTAAATTTTTCAGATTTTGTTTCATTTATCGTTTCTGTATCAATATCACAATATGCTTGTCGCTTGTCAATTGTCGATTGTTGCTTGTCGATTGTCGCTTGATGTTATACAATTCTCGATTGTCGCTTGATGCTTGTCAATTGATGCTTAATGCTTAACGATTGTCGCTTGTCGATTGACTCTTGTCAATTGTCGCTTAACGCTTTACAATTGCCGATTGTCACTTAACGTTTCACGACTGTCGCTTGACGTTTGCCGCTTGTTGCTTGTCGCTTAATGCTTCATGATTGTCGCTTGACGATTGTCGATTGTCACTTGTCGATTGTTGCTTTACAAATGTCGCTTAACACTTTAGGATTGTCGCTTGACGATTGTCGATTGTCACTTGTCGATTGTCGCTTTACAAATGTCGCTTAACACTTTAGGATTGTCGCTTGACGATTGTCGATTGTCACTTGTCGATTGTCGCTTTACAAATGTCGCTTAACACTTTAGGATTGTCACTTGACGCTTGTCGATTGTCGCTTGTCAATTGTTGCTGGTCAATTGTCACTTGTTGATTGTAGATTGTCGATTGTCACTTGTTGCTTGTCGCTTGTCACATGTCGCTTGTCGATTGTCGCTTGTCGATTGTCGCTTGTTAATTGTTGCTTGTCGATGGTAGCTTGTCACTTTATGATTGTCGCTTGATGCTTCACGCTTGTCGATTGTCGCTTGTCGATTGTCACTTGTCGCTTTGTGGCTGCGAGTCGCACGTAGTGTGAACTCAATTTTTTAGATTTTGTTTTAATTTTTGTTGCAATACAGGCTCATTCTGAAAGTGTACCCCAGTATACATTTCTGGAGATCGCAAATTATGTAGCCAGAGGTATGTATGACTGCATTTCATCTTTAAAATGAATGCTGCTCTGCGATATGACACCGTTCCTTTTCCTTGCATACCAGCTGACCGCTTACCTCCGTATAGTCGGCTTTTTCCGCTGTTACAAGTTTGTCCTGTAGCTCACATGTACGTCAGCCGACTTGTGACACAGAGAGGAGTTGACCACGATGATGGGGTTCGAATCCATTGAAGAACAGTTCCAGAAGATAAAAAAAAAGAAGCCAAAAAATAAGGTGGTAAATAACAGGGTGAGAACGTGGTGAAATCTGAAACTGGGTTAAAAATCAGGCGAGGCCTTTTCTTTTCCTGGGTTGCTTTTCAAAACACTGTTGGTTGGGTTGAGAGAAGTGGCTGGGCGGGTCGATTGATGTTTTTTAAAACACTATTGATTGGGTTTAGGGAAGGAGGAGGGTGGGTCAGGTGGGTCAGATTTAAAAGAGAACAGCAGGCGTGAATGGCACTCACTGGAGAAATTTGAGATCTGAAAAAGACACAGCGACATTTGGCGGATTCGCAAAAACAAAAACTGCAAAAAAAAAAAAACGGAGCTCCTGGGACGTATTTGGCGCTCTCCAGAAATGTATATAGAGGTACATACTCAGAATGAGCCTGGGCTGGTTTGAATTGCTTGGATTTTTACCAAAAATCTGTATGTTCATTCATTTTTCTTGTCGGCATAGTCCCTTTATTCATCAGGGGTCGCCACAGCAGAATGAACCGCCAACTATTTCAGCATATGTTTTACACAGCGGATACCCTTCCAGCTGCAACCCAGTACTGGGAAACACCCATACACACTCATTCACACACAAACTCATACACTACGGCCTATTTAGTTCATCAATTCCCCTATACCACATGTATTTGGACTGTGGGGGAAACTGGAGCACCCGGAGGAAACCCACGCCAACACAGGGAGAACATGCAAACTCCACACAGAAACGCCAACTGGCCCAGCCGGGACTCAAACCAGCGACCTTCTTGCTGAAGAAATGGACTGAAAGCTTGTAGACGAGCCGGAGTCAGTTTGTGCAGGTTTACATCAGGAGGAGCAGAGTGTTTACAGACCCACAGACTGACTGAGGAGCAGCAGCAGATAGCGGCAGAGAGATTCATGACAGACGCTTCAGCAGCAGATAAATCTATGCGCACACCTGTATGTTCAGCTCTCTATCTATTGTGTGTGAACGTCACTGTGCATGTTGAGATGTGTGTGTGTGTGTGTGTTCTGACAGTGAAGAGAGAGTGTGTGTGTGTGGAGGACAGACACTGGTGTATTGCAGCAGAAGTGAACTATGTAGGTCACTGTCCTCTGCCTGAGTGTGTCTGTGTGGAAGAGTATTGTTTGTTCTGTGTGTGTGTGTGTGTTTGTGTGTGTATCTGTGTGTGTATGTGTGTGTTTACTACAGTAGTGTGTGTGTGTGTGTGTTATAACTCTCTGGCAGAAATGTGATTTATCTAAATCAGAGTATCAGCCCCCAGGTAGAGACGAGATCCTGTCATAGAGCAATTCATCACAGAACTGCACACACACACCTGAAACACACACACACCTCAAACATACACGCAATCACACACACCTCAAACATTCACGCAATCACACACACGCACAACTTAAACATGAACAAGCACGCATGCCACACACACACACACACACACACACACACACACACACACACACACACACACACACACACACACACGCAAACACACACACACACAGTCAAATAAACACTATTATGTCTAGCAACGCCCCTGGTATGATCCATTTCAGACACTGCAAGAAGAAATGATTCTGAAATGTTTTAATGAGAATATTAAAATGTTTTATTTTTATATGTTTTATAAATGTAAACCTCTTGCAGGACACCTAAAAGCTTAAAAACAGCATAAAAGAGGCACTTTTATTTTAAAATTAGACGTGAAATTAAGAGAAACTATCAAAAATTAACCTATACAC